TGTGACCTTGAATATGGGTGAAGGTCATTCATTTGAACAAACTTTGTAGCCCTTCATCTCAGCATGCTACTGGCCAAATATCATCACCCTGGGCATTTTGGTTATTCAGAAGAAGTTGTTTAAAGGTTTTTTAAGACAATTGACCCCTGTGACCTTGAATATAATTGAAGGTCATTCATTTGAACAAACTTGGTAGCCCTTCACCCAAGCATGCTACTGGCCAAATATCATCTCCCCGGCCAGTTTGGTTATCGAGAAGAAAATGTTTAAGTTTTTAACATATTTGACCCCTGTGACCTTGAAATTGGGTGAAGGTCATTAATTTTACCAAACTTTGTAGCCCTTCATCCCAGTTTGCTTCAGGCCAAATATCATCATCCTAGGCCTTTTGGTTATTAAGAAGAAGTTGTTTAAAGTAAAATATTGACGCAGGACGACGGACGGACGACGGACGCCACGCCATGGCATAAGCTCACTTGGCACTTTGTGCCAGGTGAGCTAATAACATACCCTAGGCAATTTGGTTATATTCTTCAGAAGTCGTTTAAAAATGTCAACACCTTTGACCTCTGTGATCTAGAATATGGGTGAAGGCCATCTATTTGAACAGACTTGACATGTAACTGCCCAAAATCTTTTTGACCTTCTGGTTACTGAGAAAAAGTTGTTAAATATTTTTTAATACATATGACCACTGCAACCTTGAATATAGGTGGAGTGTATCAAATAATTTGGTAGCCCTTCAACCCAGCGTGCTGATGCCCAAATATCATCATCCTCGGCCTCTATAAGAAGACATTGCTTATAAAGTAAACAAGAATTCCACGGGAGTGGATGTGTCGCCTGTGTTTTGGCTCGAGTTATCGCGTAAACAGATATGCCAAAATGCAGAAAGTTGAAACTCGACAGAAAAACCTCTAATATATGCTGAATAAATTGCTTCTAGCATTACCGTACAAAATTTGAAAGGAATTGATTAAAAAATAAAAAAAGTTCATGTATTTACTTCAGAATGCCCTTATTTGGCAATAAAAGGGGCATAACTTCACCAAAAATGCACGTATACTTCTGAAATGCGAACTTGTCCGAGCTATATCAATATGCAATATGTGTACCAACTTGGAGTTCAATCAACCCAAAGGAACTCAAGTTATTGTTTCAGATGATGCAACCGACGATGACACCGGCAAAGTAATGCCTATATGTCGCCGTTGACGGTGACACAAAAAGTTGACACTGAACAGACAGATGAATGACCCCACAACACAACATTAGCTCACTGGCCTTGTAACTGTTACAAGGGATCCCAGAGGGAACAGACAGATAAATGACCCCACAACACAACATAAGCTAACTGGCCTTGTAACTGTAACAAGGGATCCCAGAGGGAACAGACAGATGAATGACCCCACAACACAACATAAGCTCACTGGCCTTGTAACTGTTACAAGGGATCCCAGAGGGAACAGACAGATAAATGACCCCACAACACAACATAAGCTAACTGGCCTTGTAACTGTAACAAGGGATCCCAGAGGGAACAGACAGATGAATGACCCCACAACACAACATAAGCTCACTGGCCTTGTAACTGTTACAAGGGATCCCAGAGGGAACAGACAGATAAATGACCCCACAACACAACATAAGCTAACTGGCCTTGTAACTGTAACAAGGGATCCCAGAGGGAACAGACAGATGAATGACCCCACAACACAACATAAGCTCACTGGCCTTGTAACTGTAACAAGGGATCCCAGAGGGAACAGACAGATGAATGACCCCACAACACAACATAAGCTCACTGGCCTGTAACTGTAACAAGGGATCCCAGAGGGAACAGACAGATGAATGACCCCACAACACAACATAAGCTCACTGGCCTTGTAACTGTAACAAGAGATCCCAGAGGCAACAGACAGATGAATGACCCCACAACACAACATAAGCTCACTGGCCTTGTAACTGTAACAAGAGATTCCAGAGGCAACAGACAGATGAATGACCCCACAACACAACATAAGCTCACTGGCCTTGTAACTGTAACAAGAGATTCCAGAGGGAACAGACAGATGAATGACCCCACAACACAACATAAGCTCACTGGCCTGTAACTGTAACAAGGGATCCCAGATGGTGGGCTAAAAATGTTAATACCCATAACTGATATATCAAAACAACAATGAAAATATTTAATGACAGTGATGTGTGGTAAAAGCCAGTGTTTCACCTCCAACATATATGCAAATCAAAATACCCATGGGACTCATATTGTTGGACTTATATAGCTCTCCTGTTTGTTTTATTCGACCTTCTGGCAGGAAAAACACAGTTTTACAGATGACGAGGCATGCACGCTCATATAACCAGTAAAAACCTGAATGATTGATGTGAAAAGATAATTGAAGATGGACCAATTTTGTGTATTCTCAGATAGACAGCTAATTACATGGAACAAGATATGCAACCATAATCCACTGTGTTGTGGCCATGGGTAACATGGATGTGAGAACGGAGGTGTTTGTGTGTTTACTGGAATGACATATATGTTGTGTGCATACTGTGGTATGTTGTGTATACTGTGGTGTGTTCTGTGTATACTGTGGTATGTTGTGTATACTGTGGTGTGTTCTGTGTATACTGGGTTGTGTTGTGTATACTGTGGTGTGTTCTGTGTATACTGTGGTATGTTGTGTATACTGTGGTGTGTTCTGTGTATACTGTGGCATGTTGTGTGTATACTGTGGTATGTTGTATATACTGTGGTGTGTTCTGTGTATACTGTGGCATGTTGTGTATACTGTCGTGTTGTGTGTATACTGGGTTGTGTTGTGTGTATACTGGGGTGTGTTGTGTGTATACTGGGGGGGGTGTGTGTATACTGGGTTTTGTTGTGTGTATACTGGGTTGTTTTGTGTGTATACTGTGGTATGTTATGTGTATACTGGGTTGTGTTGTGTGTATACTGTGGTATGCTGTGTGTATACTGGGTTGTGTTGTGTGTATACTGGGTTGTGTTGTGTGTTTACTGGGGTGTGTTGTGTGTATACTGTGGTATGTTGTGTGTATACTGTGGTATGCTGTGTATACTGGGTTGTGTTGTGTGTATACTGGGCTGTGTTGTGTGTATACTGGGGAGTGTTGTGTGTATACTGGGGTGGGTTGTGTGTATACTGGGGGGGGTTGTGTGTATACTGGGTTGGGTTGTGTGTATACTGGGTTTTGTTGTGTGTATACTGGGTTGGGTTGTGTGTATACTGGGTTTTGTTGTGTGTATACTGGGGTGGGTTGTGTGTATACTGGGGGGTGTTGTGTGTGTACTGGGGTGTGTTGTGTGTATTCTGGGTTGTGTTGTGTGTTTACTGGGGTGTGTTGTGTGTATGCTGGGGTGTGTTGTGTGTATACATGGGTGTGTTGTGTGTATACTGGGCTGTGTTGTGTGTATACTGGGGAGTGTTGTGTGTATACTGGGGTATGTTGTGTGTATACTGGGGTGTGTTGTGTGTATACTGGGGTGTGTTGTGTGTATACATGGTTGTGTTGTGTGTATACTGGGTTGTGTTGTGTGTATACTGGGGTGTGTTGTGTGTATACTGTGGTATGTTGTGTGTATACTGGGGTGTACATTGCTGCTGTGTTTACTGAGATCATCACTCTATATTTGCATCACTCTGATACACTTGGTTCTAGCATGGACTCATACAATTATGGTAACATTATTCTGAGTTTTAGATTGATTGGTTTACTGGTTTATGGTAATATTGTTCTGGGTTTTAGATTGATTAGTTTATAGAAACAAGTGGTTTAGCAGTATCATGAATCTAGTCTCACCATGTACCAGCACCTAAAAACTGTTAATTCCACAATTTACTACTTATTGACTATGTGCTAACATTGTATTGCCCCAGATATCTGATTTTATAAGGTAACTGATTTATATACGTTTGAGTGAAATCAGCTACGACGTCAATAGAATTATGGCTATAAAATCATGAGTGTGCTGCTCAGAGTATGTGCAACTGATCTATCTAGTAAAGACAAGTCCAGATTAGAGGCCTAGAGGATATTAATGGCTTTCCTATGACCATGTAATTAGCTATCTGAGAATACACTAAAGAATTGGTCTACCTTCAATTATTTTTTCACATCAATCGTCCGGGGTTTTAGCGTTAATATACCATTCATGCATAGTCATCCATGAGAAAATGCAAGCAGGATACCATCTATGAATACACAGTATATCAAAGCTTATTGATCTATCCCAGCTGGGATGCCATCAGTTAATTTGTTCTACTTCATCAGTACTCAGGCATAGGCCCAAATCCTCCTTCATGAAAGGATGGGTTCATAAAGCCTTCTGCCTGACGAGGAGGGAACATGTACCCTTCTGCCTGATGGGTGGGCACATGTATTCTTCTGCCTGACAAGGAGGGAACATGTACCCTTCTGCCTGATGGGTGGGCACATGTATTCTTCTGCCAGAGGGGGAGGGCACATGTAACCTTGTGCTTGAATGGGGAGGGCACATGTAACCTTGTGCTTGAGGGGGTGGGCACATGTATTCTTCTGCCAGAGGGGGAGGGCACATGTAACCTTGTGCTTGAATGGGGAGGGCACATGTAACCTTGTGCTTGAGGGGGTGGGCACATGTATTCTTCTGCCTGACAAGGAGGGAACATGTACTCTTCTGCCTGAAGGGTGGGCAAATTTATTCTTCTAACAGAGGGGGAGGGCACATGTAACCTTCAGCTTGAGAGGATGGGTACATGTACCCTTGTGCTTGAGGGGGTGGGCACATGTAACCTTCAGCTTGAGGGGGAGGGCACATGTAACCTTCAGCTTGAGGGAATGGGCACATGTACCCTTGTGCTTGAGGGGGTGGGCACATGTAACCTTCAGCTTGAGGGAATGGGCACATGTACCCTTGTGCTTGAGGGGGTGAGCACATGTAACCTTCAGTTTGAGGGAATGGGCACATGTACCCTTGTGCTTGAGGGGGTGGGCACATGTAACCTTCAGCTTGAGGGAATGGGCACATGTACCCCTGTGCTTGAGGGGGTGGGTACATGTAACCTTCAGCTTGAGGGGCTGGGTACATGTACCCTTCTGCCTGACAAGGAGGGAACATGTAACCTTCTGCCTGAAAGGTGGATACATGTACTCTTCTGCCAGAGGGGGAGGGCACATGTCACCTTCAGCTTGAGGGGTCAGGTACATGTACTCTTCTGCCTGATAGGGTGGGCACATGTAACAGCCTGCCAGAGGGGGTGGGCACATGTAACCTTCTGCCAGAGGGGGAGGGCACATGTAACCTTCAGCTTAAGGGGGTGGGTACATGTACTCTTCTGCTTGATGGGGTCGGCACATGTAACCGTCTGCCAGAGCGGGTGAGCACATGTAACCTTCTGCCTGAGAAGGTGGGCATATGTACTCTTCTGCTTGAGGAGAAGTGAACATGTTCTCTTCTGCCTAAGGGGGTGGACACATGTACCCTTCTGCTTGAGGGGTTGGGCACATGTAACCCTTCTGCCTGATGGGGTGGGTACATGTAACCTTCTGCCTGATGGGATGGGCACATGTGCCCTTCTGCCTGAGGGGGAGGGCACATGTACCCTTTTGCCCGAGGGGTTGGGCACATGTACCCTTTTGCCTGAGGGGGAGGGTACATGTAACCTTCTGCGTGATGGGGAGGACGCATGTACCCTTTTGCCTGAGGAGGGAGGGTACATGTAACATTCTGCCTGAGGAGGGAGGGCACATGTACCCTTGTGCTTGAGGAGGGAGGGTACATGTACCCTTCTGCCTGTAACAAGAGCCACTCCTATTAGACATCGGTCAACAACAAAAGATACTGGCTAATGTCATACACAGGGCCACAAATAAGTGTACTGATAGCTAATGTCACACACAGGGTCACAAATAAGTGTACTGATAGCTAATGTCACACACAGGGCCACAAATAAGTGTACTGGTAGCTAATGTCATACACAGGGCCACAAATAAGTGTACTGATAGCTAATGTCACACACAGGGCCACAAATACGTGTACCGGTAGCTAATGTCATACACAGGGCCACAAATAAGTGTACTGATAGCTAATGTCACACACAGGGCCACAAATAAGTGTACTGATAGCTAATGTCATACACAGGGCCACAAATAAGTGTACTGGTAGGTAATGTCACACACAGGGCCACAAATAAGTGTACTGATAGCTAATGTCCCACACAGGGTCCCAAATAAGTGTACTGATAGCTAATGTCACACACAGGACAACAAATAAGTGTACTGATAGCTAATGTAACACACAGGGCCACAAATAAGTGTACTGATAGATAATGTCATACACAGGGCCACAAATAAGTGTCCTGGTAGGTAATGTCACACACAGGGCCACAAATATGTGTACTGATAGCTAATGTCACACACAGGGCCACAAATAAGTGGACTGATAGCTAATGTCATACACAGGGCCACAAATAAGGGTACTGGTAGGTAATGTCACACACAGGGCCACAAATATGTGTACTGATAGCTAATGTCACACACAGGGCCACAAATAAGTGTACTGATAGCTTATGTCACACACAGGACAACAAATAAGTGTACTGATAGCTAATGTCACACACAGGGCCACAAATAAGTGTACTGATAGCTAATGTCACACACAGGGCCACAAATAAGTGTACTGATAGCTAATGTCATCCACAGTTGAGGGAGTTGGGAGTGAGACGGACACTTTTTAGGTGGTGTCTGTTTGGGCAGATACAGAGATGGTAAGAGGAATGTACTGTTTTACTTATTCTAAAACATATGATCGTTTAACTTATTCTGAAACATATTAATGGATGAGCCAATCTCTTTAGATAATCTGTACATGATAACTTCTTGTGTCTAATGGGATCATGCCACTTACAAGATTAATGCATGGCTACCTCTGTCTGTACTAATCTGATGCTGAAGACTCTCGTCATACACAAGTAAACATCTATTAAAATCATGCTATTTTTGCTAAAACATGCACCTGTTTACCATGCTTGATCACATGGATGTTCTGACTAATTAAACTGATACTTAACAGCCACCAGCCAACACCAAAGTTTAACATTTGTGTCACACTATCACACTTACGTCCCTGATAGACTCATCAGCCCTCTGATGCTCTCATACACATGGCGGTGGTTCTATCAGAAACCAATTTCACGAAAAATTTGGTTTTGTGTTGACAAAAACACAGCAGCATAGGTGTTTGTTTTTTGTAACGGGATTCAACTAAATAGCCTCTGCTTGCCACCCTGAAAGGTCAACAGACTGGACCAACGTTTTACACATTATTGTATTACTTTGAGATGGCTCATTGATCTGTGATGAATAAGAAGTGTAAGAGAAAGATGCTGGCCTCCTAGACCACTCAACACATCAGGTCTGGGGGGACATTTACCCTCCAATAACACCATTACCATTACACGGCAGTCGTCACAAGGGGACACAACTCACATACATCTGCTCCCCTATTTTGGTAAACAATTTAACAGCAGCAAGATTCTACCATGACAGAGTACATTCAATCAAGGTCTCAACCAAGAAAGAGTTCACAGAGTGAAATGAACCAGAGATTCTCTCATGAGACTCCTGGTACAAGTTTCCACCATGACAGGGTCCATTGAACTTAACACTATACCTGAAGTATCTAGCTAGTCACCCTTAATCACCCCCTGTAACACTTACGTTGTATTTCATGTTTAACAATTACTATGGAGTCACACTCAATCACCCCTGTAACACTTTGTTGCCCTTAATCACCCCTTGTAACAATTAAGTTGTATTTTAAGTATTAACAATTATTACCCTAGAGTTGCCCTTAATCACCCCCTGTAACAATTAAGTTGTATTTTAAGTATGACTTATTACCCTGGAGTTGCCCTCAAAATCTCTTGAACACTTTGATTGTATATTTTAAGCATTAACAACTACCCTGGAGTCACCCGCAGTCACCCTGTGTAACACTTACGTTGTATTTGAAGTAATGGCGATGGCCCTGTAATGAGCCTCCTTTTCAGTAGGAAGACTTATATCCACAGAACTTGAGCGCACTTGTTTAGGAACCTCCAGTGTTCCCTCATCGAAAGATTCCTGCCTTTGCACAGTGCCACGTCCACTTTTGAATACCACCTCATTGGGTGGTGCTTGTGAGTTAAGGATGGTAGCATCCAGAGAGGAGGAGCGAAAAGTCTTTATGATGGGTACCTCAAGGGTTAGGGCGTTGGTGTAGTTACACATAATCTCCTCCACCTCTTTGTCCTCCACCTCTTTGTCCTGAGGTCCACAACTGTCATCAGAATCATCCCAAGAGTCCAAAGACCCCATGTCTAATGACAGATCCTCATCACTAGAGGCGCCATTCTCAACCTCGGTGTGGTGACTCTCGTCCTCCTTATGCTGTTCTTCGTACTGTTCCATATGTACACAATGGATGCATAGTTTCGGAATTTCAAACGAGGACCGGCGCCTTGAGTATTTAGAAATAAGACTATAACGACGACCCTCACGCTCGAACTCCTCAACTTCTTGGCCCCATCCTGAGGAAGACGAGTCAAATGACTGACAACGCCGACCAGGATTGGGAACCTCCAAAAACTCTTGGGTCTCTTTATGTAAAGTACTGGCATCAAAACTAGAGGAACGTGCCCTTGTCTCCACTGGAACCTCAAGACAAATGGCCTCATCTAGGTCATTGTCATCAATGGACGTCTGCTTCTGACGAGGTAAACACATCCTTGGCAGATCAAATGAGGGTGAAATACATCTGCTTTTCCTGAAAATATTCATTATAACACTTCGTTGTGGAGTAATATTAATAATAACGGGAATGCATAGTTAAGAATGTTGCCCCGGAAGAGGAGGACAAGACATGAGTAGCGGCGTTAAGTTACAAAGTGAAACGATTGTCCCAGATGGAAGTGGTGTACAGTTGCTGGTGAACCGATTCATGTCACCCCTGAGGGGAGTGGTAATGAGCATGACTGTTTGAGCTTCCAGGAGTGGCACGTCTACAGGTTGCTTGCTGTCATCCATGTGGGATGTTCCTATGCTGGCCTTTAGCTTCAGCCCAGCATCAGTCCACTTTGACGTAATTATCTGTAGACTGTTTAAATATTAATTCACTCTCCAAACTCATTTTTAACATCTCGCCAGCACATTCAATTATCGTAATTAAATTTTCACCTCCATAAGAAGTCCAGGTTCTTCTGTTAATTAGAAGAGAGAGGCCAACCATTGCACCAGCCCAACCATTGTCTCACCTCATGTGCCACAGGTAGACCGCCACAAAACCTACCTGTCTCATATGTTTACAAATTCTCAATACATCACATAAATCTATAATGCAGTTCTATCGATAAATGATAAAAACAACTTTGAACTGGAATAGCCCACAAGCTTGTCATTTGCTTTACTATCAGTGGCAATCAGTAGGCAGCCTGCCCTAGTATGGCCGAGTGACTGCGGTGTGCCACTACTTCAGCAGCCAGCACCACCTAACGGTACACAGCCACACGTCCCCAACAGAGTAGTATACACACCCTACAGAAGTCATCAGCTGTATCACAGCTAATCACCACCTGTAGTATACATAGAACAGCCCACTGTAGTCACCACCTGTAGCTTCCCGTCCCTCTTTTGTAAAAACAGAATTACCACTGCACTACAAACATGGTGTAGCCGGAATCAAATTATCCACCATCTGTGGACATATAGACTTGATTCTAATATGCAGACCACCTGCCTCACCTCATCTTTCTACAGCATAGTTCACCAGTTGGTATAATAATCGAATGTCGATCTTATTTCCTTTCTTATATAGTTAACATCTGTATTCCTATATACTACACCTGTGTATTCCTATATAGTAAACATCTGTATTCCTATATACTTTACCTGTGTATTCCTATATAGTAAACATCTGTATCTTTATATAGTATACATCTGTATCTTTATATAGTATACATCAGTATCTTTATATAGTATAAATCTGTATCTCCATATAGTTAACATCTGTATCTTTATATAGTATACATCTGTATCTCCATATAGTATACATCTGTGTCTTTATATAGTATACATCTGTATCTTTATATAGAGTATACATCTGTATCTTTATATAGTTAACATCTGTATCTTTATATAGTATACATCTGTATCTTTATATAGTATACATCTGTATCTTTATATAGTATACACCTGCATCTTTATATAGTATACATCTGTATCTCCATATAGTATACATCTGTATCTTTATATAGTAAACATCTGTATCTTTATATAGTATACATCTGTATCTTTATATAGTATACATCTGTATCTCCATATAGTATACATCTGTATCTTTATATAGTATACATCTGTATCTTTATATAGTATACATCTGTATCTTTATATAGTGTACATCTGTATCTTTATATAGTGTACATCTGTATCTTTATATAGTTAACATCTGTATCTTTATATAGTATACATCTGTATCTTTATATAGTATACATCTGTATCTTTATATAGTATACATCTGTATCTTTATATAGTATACATCTGTATCTTTATATAGTATACATCTGTATCTTTATATAGTATACATCTGTATCTTTATATAGTATACATCTGTATCTTTATATAGTATACATCTGTATCTTTATATAGTATACATCTGTATCTTTATATAGTATACATCTGTATCTTTATATAGTATACATCTGTATCTTTATATAGTATACATCTGTATCTTTATATAGTATACATCTGTATCTTTATATAGTATACATCTGTATCTTTATATAGTATACATCTGTATCTTTATATAGTATACATCTGTATCTTTATATAGTATACATCTGTATCTTTATATAGTATACATCTGTATCTTTATATAGTATACATCTGTATCTTTATATAGTATACATCTGTATCTTTATATAGTATACATCTGTATCTTTATATAGTATACATCTGTATCTTTATATAGTATACATCTGTATCTTTATATAGTATACATCTGTATCTTTATATAGTATACATCTGTATCTTTATATAGTATACATCTGTATCTTTATATAGTATACATCTGTATCTTTATATAGTATACATCTGTATCTTTATATAGTATACATCTGTATCTTTATATAGTATACATCTGTATCTTTATATAGTATACATCTGTATCTTTATATAGTATACATCTGTATCTTTATATAGTATACATCTGTATCTTTATATAGTATACATCTGTATCTTTATATAGTATACATCTGTATCTTTATATAGTATACATCTGTATCTTTATATAGTATACATCTGTATCTTTATATAGTATACATCTGTATCTTTATATAGTATACATCTGTATCTTTATATAGTATACATCTGTATCTTTATATAGTATACATCTGTATCTTTATATAGTATACATCTGTATCTTTATATAGTATACATCTGTATCTTTATATAGTATACATCTGTATCTTTATATAGTATACATCTGTATCTTTATATAGTATACATCTGTATCTTTATATAGTATACATCTGTATCTTTATATAGTATACATCTGTATCTTTATATAGTATACATCTGTATCTTTATATAGTATACATCTGTATCTTTATATAGTATACATCTGTATCTTTATATAGTATACATCTGTATCTTTATATAGTATACATCTGTATCTTTATATAGTATACATCTGTATCTTTATATAGTATACATCTGTATCTTTATATAGTATACATCTGTATCTTTATATAGTATACATCTGTATCTTTATATAGTATACATCTGTATCTTTATATAGTATACATCTGTATCTTTATATAGTATACATCTGTATCTTTATATAGTATACATCTGTATCTTTATATAGTATACATCTGTATCTTTATATAGTATACATCTGTATCTTTATATAGTATACATCTGTATCTCCATATAGTTTACATCTGTATCTTTATATAGTACACATCTGTGTCTTTATAAAGTATACATCTGTATCTTTATATAGTATACATCTGTGTCTTTATAAAGTATACATCTGTATCTTTATATAGTATACATCTGTATCTCCATATAGTTTACATCTGTATCTTTATATAGTATACATCTGTGTCTTGATAAAGTATACATCTGTATCTTTATATAGTATACATCTGTATCTTTATATAGTATACATCTGTGTCTTTATAAAGTATACATCTGTATCTTTATATAGTTTACATCTGTATCTCATCAATATAGTATACCTGTGTATTTCTATATAGTATACCTGTGTATTCCTATATAGTATACCTGTGTATCACTTAAATTCCCCGAGTATCTTTATATAGTATACCTGTATATCTCTATATAGTATACCTGTGTATTTCTATATAGTATACCTGTGTCCTTACCTCTATTTATCTTTATAGTAAACCTGTCCTTACCTCTATTTACCTATAAAGTAAACCTGTCCTTACCTATATTTACCTATATAGTAAACATGTCCTTACCTCTATTTACCTATATAGTAAACATGTCCTTACCTCTATTTACCTATATAGTAAACCTGTCCTTACCTCTATTTACCTATAAAGTAAACCTGTCCTTACCTATATTTACCTATAAAGTAAACCTGTCCTTACCTCTATTTACCTATAAAGTAAACATGTCCTTACCTCTATTGACCTATAAAGTAAACCTGTCCTTACCTATATTTACTTATAAAGTAAACCTGTCCTTACCTCTATTTACCTATAAAGTAAACCTGTCTTTACCTATATTTACCTATAAAGTAAACCTTTCCTCACCTCTATTTACCTATAAAGTAAACCTGTCCTTACCTATATTTACCTATAAAGTAAACCTGTCCTTACCTCTATTTACCTATAAAGTAAACATGTCCTTACCTCTATTTACCTATATAGTAAACCTGTCCTAATCCTATTTACCTATAAAGTAAACCTGTCCTTACCTCTATTTACCTATATAGTAAACCTGTCCTTACCTCTATTTACCTATAAAGTAAACCTGTCCTTACCTATATTTATATATAATTACCTATAAAGTAAACCTGTCCTTACCTCTATTTACCTATATAGTAAACCTGTCCTTACCTCTATTTACCTATAAAGTAAACCTGTCCTTACCTATATTTACCTGTAAAGTAAACATGTCCTTATCTCTATTTACCTATATAGTAAACCTGTCCTAACCTTTATTTACCTATAAAGTAAACCTGTCCTTACCTATATGGTAAGACCAGTGCCTTCTACATGACCACCTCTATACATTAAAACCTCTGATACACACATGAAAATGATGTTAAGTTCGTGATAATAAAACACTTGTTCTGTTATAACTTGTCCATGACGAAAAGGCAGAGCATCCATGTAATCAACTGAGAAGCAATTAATATTTGATGAGGCTCTGCTAATTGCTGGCACACAGAGATACATGATAACCCAGAGTAAAATTGATCAGCTGTGACAGTGTGTCTTGCATACAAGCCTGGACAGATACCCCCCACCCACCCCCCAAGTGAATACGAGCCTATGTGTATACCACTGACACCACATCAATATCTGCACTTATACTCACATCATATATAATTGGTAACCTTTGAAAAGAAATATTCTCTGATCCACAATTGGCCCCAGCCCCTCTGCCCATTTATACAACATTGTCTTTCCAAAGCCCAAGGATGCCTCATGCTCCATTAGGATCAACTAGAACACCGACAGATCAGCAGGGCTGGCTATGTTCCCCCCACCCCAAGCCTATTTTAGTAACAGTAACCTTGACCTTAAATTTTTATTCAATTCCAAGATTAGGACCGCACCCACTTCAGTCTATTTTCAGTAAGTGACTTGACACTAGAAAGTATTATAAATCCTTGTTGCACATCTACATACTACAGTGTATCACAATGTCAAATTTTCAAAAAGATTAGACTTTTGGATAACAAGGAAAGGACTATTCCCTACGGTTTATTTTTAGTAACAATGACCTTGACTTTGACCTTAGAATTTGCTTTAAATCCCTAGTGTACATCTACATTTCAACAGTGTATTACCATCATGACAAATTTCAAAAAGATTTGTTTTTCAGCTTCCAAGGATTCTTACGGAAACGAACTTGTGGAAGGACAAACAGACAGACAGATGGACAGCCTAATCACTACAGGGCATCCACATGGCCCTTAAAAAGAGTCTCTATAAATACTTACGTAGCTTTGCACATAATTTAGTGATGGGCAATTGGTTTAAAATCGTAATTGATTATCAGTTTGTAATCGGAAGTAGTAACCTTGATTGATGACCGATTGTATAACTGAAGACTGAAGATCTCAATACAGTGAAATGTTACATCAATAGACAGAGCTGTAAACTAAACATGCAGGTTTGTCAATCATACAGTAAAAGTCATCAGAATAAATGACTTTCAATGCATATTTTACAATGTATACATTTGATACTTTGATTTCAACAATGAATCGATTACATAGATATATAATTTGTTATCAATTATCTGAATTGGAAAGAGCAAACTTATTGATTTTCAATTATAAGCTGATCGGTCATCAACGGATCGCAAATACCAACGGGTGGGGGGGCAACCTCTTCAATTATATACCAATGTGTTCCCTTAGCCTAGGGTTTTTCATACCTAATTTATTCAAACGAAAAATCTTCAGGCATTCTGTGTCGTT